GCGGGAGAAAGATGAGGCTTTCTACTCCCGTAAAGATTTACACCCTCGGAAACCCTGTACAGGGTCGCTATGGGTCGGACCCGACTCGATGGCACTCAACAACAACAACAACAATACGTAAGGTCAGCACGAGTCAGAGCCGACTTGATGGCAAATAACAACAAACTCTATGAGCCCAGCGAGACGACATTCTAGAACTGCCCAAACGAATCTCTAGCAGCACAGAGCTGATCGGGGTTGCCTGGGACTGAGCTTGGGGAGGCCGGCAGCACAGACACATGAGACTTTCTGAGTGATGGAGATATTCTGTGCAGGTTGTGGCTCCTTGCTTGTCCACATTTGTCCAAACGTGTGTTGGTGTGTTCCCTTAAAATCAGTGCATTCCACTGTGTGTCAATTGTAATGCAAATCTAAGCGATTTAAAAATATTTTTCAAAGCCAGGTGCAAAAGCCCATCTCAGATTTACTGAAATAGAATTGTACTGAGCGGGGCAAGCAGGGTGGTTCTGCAGGACAGTGGGTGCTGAGAACCCCACACTCACTACTCCAAGTCCCCTTCTGGCTCTGAAATCTGGAGACCCCAGAGCCACCCAACCACTTCTGTCCTCAGCCCAGCTCCAGGGATCATTTCTGTAGTGCCAGCAGTGACAAAGATGTCAGAAACAGGGGAGGAGAGAGAAGAACGTGGGTCAGGAGGGAACCTGGCTGGGCTGGGCACAGGGACCCCAGTGGAGGCCTTTCTCCATCTGACTGTCCCCAATCCCGTAATCTCTTTGGTCCTCAGAGATCCAGATGAGGTTGACAAACTCCAACTCACGGTGCCAGGGACAGCTGGAGGTCCATAACTGGGGTCAATGGTACTCAGTGTGCAGTCAAAGCTGGGGCGGGAGCTGGAGTTTCCACAAGGACCCTGCCTCACCAGCCCAAGGGTTCTGCCGGCAGCTGCACTGTGGGGACACCTTGGAGCTTGCCATCTTCCCTCACTTCGGGAGTTCCCGGAACCAAATGCTCTGTCACGGAACTCCGGGATCTTTCTCCAACTGCAGCAAAACTGAGGTCAGACAGTGGTGCCAACCTCTGAGCCTCATCTGCGTAGGTGGGTACTAGCCAGACCACACACATCCTCAGGCTGGCACTGCACAGAGGAGGCTGGGCAGAAGGTGGGAGGGGTGCCAGCCACTACATCCCCCCAGTCATCCACACCAGTGAGTGGGCAGGAGGTGGGAGGGGTGCCGGTCACTATATCCCCCCCAATCATCCACACCAGTGAGTGGGCAGGAGGTGGGAGAGGTGCCTGGTCACTACACCCTTGGAGGAAATAGAGGGAAGGGTCTGAGGGGTGCAGGTGCAGTAGAATGGAAAAGATCCAGGACCTGGTTCTACCAACAGCTTCCTCTGGCACTGCCCACCTCATAACACCGGTGGGAGGCATACAGACAATGTCTGGGCCCAGTGGACTCAATGCGGAGCTTACATAATGAACCCCAGGTCTTCCAACACTGTCGTCAACTGCCTCCCAACCCCAGCGTCTTCCCTGCCACCCACTCCTACTTCACTCCACCATCCTTGGGCCTCGTGCCCCTCCCTCACTACAATGTCTCATTTCAGAGCCACCAACAACAAGACCTCCACCCACAAGCCCCACCACCACCACCACTCCAGAGCCCACAGGTAAGAGAATCCTGAGACCCTACATGGGTAGGACTGTCAGAGGCAGCAAATAGCTCAAGACACTAGTTAAATTTGAATTTCAGCTGAACAGTAAATATTTTCTTAGTATAACTATGCCCTATGCTAGGTCCCTGGTGTGGCAAAGTCGGTTTGAACCACAAGCTCATCAGGGTCGCCATGGGTCGAAACTGACTTGATGGCACTTAACAACATCAACAACATGCAAGGCCCCTAGGTGGTACACATAGTGTGCACTCAACTGCAAATCTAAAGGTTGTCTATTTATGTCCACCCAGTAGCACCAAGGAAGAAAGGCCTGGGAATCAGCTTCTATAAAGATTACAGCCAAGAAAGCTCTGTGGAGTGTAGTTCTTTCTACTCCATAACACATGGACTTGCCTTGAGTTGAAATCAACCCAATAGCAGCAGGGTTTCCATTTTGTTTTGTTTTATATGATATTTGCAACTTCCATTTGATGGGCAGCTCACTACCTCCAAAGGTTCAATCATTTATTGTATGTTGGGGCCAAAAAGCAAGGTGTGTGGCCTGGTTAGAGAGGAAGGCATGTGTTGCTGGGTCCATCGCACTCAGACCAGCCTTCCCCTCTCCCTCATCTCTCTTCCAGCACCCCCCAGGCTGCAGCTGAGGGTGGGGCCAGCAGGCCTGCACTGTGCCGGCCTGGTGGAGTTCTACCGTGGCAGCCAGGGCGGCACCATCAGCGATGAGGCCCAGGACCTGACCCAGGGCCTGGGGGACCGAATCTGCACAGCCCTCCAGTGTGGCAACTTCTTGAGGCGTCTGCCAGACAGCAAAGAATCTGAGGGGCCACAGTGGGAGCAGAGGCTCCCACTAATGAGATGGAAGATCCAGAACACCGGCTGCACCTCCCTGGAGGAATGCTTCGGAAAAATCCAGCCCTGGGAGGGTAGCCGGGCTCTGGCCCTCATCTGCTCAGGTGAGTGAGACCTGGCCAGGACCCAAGGGGTTTCTGGAATCCTGAATCTCCCACATGGGTCAGTCAAGGCATGTGTGCAGAATGAGCAACAGGGCCCACAAGCATGGCACCTTGGGAACCTCTGCCAGCTCCCCTGAACACACCCAGAGAACCAGTGGCTCAGCTGCCCGAGGCTTCCAGGAGGGTTTGAAGGAGGAGAGCTGCTAAGGGTCTGATGGAGAAAATGAGAAGAGGTTCTTTAGGTGGGAATCAAGGCTTGTGCCGTGGGACAAAGCGGGACAGAGCATGTCTGGGAGGACAAGCCTCGTGCGAACTGTTATTGTTGTTGTTAGGTGCTGTCAAGTTGATTTTCTACCCTTGGTGACTCCTGTGTGTGTCAGAGTAGGATCCCAGTCCTCACACGGACACAGACACCATAGGGTTTCAGAGGCTCATATTTCAAAGGAAGAAAGTCAAGACTGTCTTCTGAGGTGCCTCTGGGTAGGGTTGAACTGCTAATCTTTCATTAGTAGTCAAGCACTTGAACCATTTTCACAATCCAGATGTTTCTAAGAGGAGGTAGACCTGGTGCTGTAAGGGACCGGGTGGAGCCTCTCCCCACTGCTCTTCAGAGCTAACTCCCAAAAGACATCAACAGACATCAGAACCCCATGCCAGCTTCCCACTGAAGTGTCACCCAAAGGAGATGTATCAGAGGAGATGCCAAGCAAAGGCCCAGGGCAGAAAGGCAGGCAGCCGGGTCTGACGGTCCCACATGCTGACGAGTCTCTGAGGTTGACCGGCAGGTGCCAGCTCAGGCTACACCCATTGCTTCTTTCCCCAGACTTCCAGCCCAAGGTGCAGAGCCGCCTGGTGGGGGGCCACAGCACATGTGAAGGCACGGTGGAGGTACGTCAGCTTGGGCAGTGGGCAGCCCTGTGCAGCAACAACCCAGCCAAGAGCCTGGCGCAGTGGGAGGAGGTCTGCCAGGAGCAGCAGTGTGGCAGCGTCAAGGCGTACCGGGAGCTGGATGCCAGAGAGAAGACAGCTCAGGGCCTCATCTGTTCCAAGGAAAAGCTGTCCCAGTGCCACGAGCTTCAGGAGAGAAAAACCCTCTGCAAAAGGGTGTTTGTCACCTGTGAGTGGGGCCAGTGTGTGGGCTGAGGGTTGTACTGTTACTCTCAGCAGCAGGTCCCAGGAGCTGGACAGAGGCCTGGGAAAGGGTGTGAAGATGAACAACTGGGGAGAGAGGATGGGAGTGCTCCTAGAGCAATGAATCTGAGCACTAAATAGAGACTGGGCCAGGCAGCAAGCAGCTAACAAATGATAGAACACTTCTCATCAGGATGAAGATAGAAAATCAAGGGATAGATGGTAGACATTTGCTACGGTAATACATGGATGAATAAAGGGTGACTGAAAAAAATGAAAGACATGGATGGATGTGTGGAGGATGGATGTAGGGAGGGCAGGTGGTAGAGAATGATGGATAGAGGATGCATGGACAAAGGGTGGATGGAAAGAAAATGGATGGGCGGAGGATGAAGAATAAATGAATGGAAAGAAAACAGATGGATGGATGAAGGAATGAAGGACAGATGGGTAAATAGATAGAAAGAGATTGGTTGGCTATTGGTACATGACTATCCATTGACGTACATACAATGGCAAAGTGATCAGCTATAAGCAACTGACAAATGGTAGGACAGTTGTCACAAGAGTGGCAAATGAGAGCAGGGTGGTGAATGGTTAGATGAGAAAACATGAACAAATGAGAAGCGGAGAATTCTAGAGCTGTAGAGGGAATGGAGGGAGGCTGGGTGGTGCAGGACAGAATAATAGATGGATGGAGGAAGGCTGGCTAGATGCAAGGATGGCTGGGAAAATGGATAAACAGAGGTTGGCTGGCTATTGGTATGTGACCATCTCTTGGTATGCGGGTGAATTTCTGGGAGAAGGGTTGGGGCTGACCTGACTCCTCTTCTCCCCAGGCCAGAACCATCACCCTTTGGGCCTGGGGGCGGGCACCATAGTGAGCATCATCCTGGCCTTGGTACTTCTGGCAGTGCTGCTGGTGGTGTGTGGCCCTCTGGTCTACAAGAAGCTGGTAAAGAAATGTAGGTGGTCATGCCTTGAGTCACTCCTTGCTGACCCTACCCTCTGTGGGCAGACTGTAGGAGCTGCAGGGAGGCCCCTCAGCTTCCTCGCCCAGCCTGGTCCTTCTCTGCCCAAAGTAACAGATACCCAGGACAAAGCACAGACACTTTGATTCACCAGATCTGGGGGCCATAGGGAGGGTGTCATCCAGAGGGTCATTGCTTGGCCTCTGAAGTCAGGAGACACAAGTCGTTACTGAGCCCCTCCTCTCTCTGAGTTTGTGTTTCCTCATTTGCCAGGTGGAAGATTGAACTTACGGAGTTCAGGGCGTTGTCTGTTATTCTTGCCTTGTAGAAGACAAGGGGGGAAGTTCTTCAGGGACAAAGGAGGTGGAATTCGAAAGGATGAAAAGAGAGAACCCAGAGGCGGGCAGTGCTAGCTAACCCCTGACACCCTCATAATCTGTCTTCCGGTTCTGAGCCCCAGGTAGCCGACCACCTCAGAATCCTCGTCCACTCAAGCCTTTGGAGCTGAATGGCTCCACTTTAACCTCCCGAGCAAGTTAGGAAACTGAGGCAGCAAGATTCCAGAAGTGGGCCCCAGCAGTCCACCTGCCTCTCCCCCCCCCCCACCCCATACTAAGTCACCCATCCTGTCTGTCTCCCAGTCCGACAGAAACAGCAGCGCCAGTGGATCGGCCCAACAGGAATGAGCCAAAACAGTAAGTGTTCCCTGGGGGCAAGGTCCTCCCTCTGTCCCAGCCAGTGTCTAGGGGCCGCAGGAAGGAGGTCACAGCCATAGACAAAGCCCGAGACTGCTAGAGGCCTCAGATCTCCACCACATTGTCCAAGGTGTGACTGCGGTCAACAGACGCCCCACACCAGGGTGTGACCAGGCTTCTTGAAGTGGCAGATGGTTATGTGGTTTCTGCTTCAGAGGCCACGTATCCTCTGCCCCAATCTCGGGTTGACTTAACCAGAGGCCCCCAGAAGCCTTTGCACCCTTGGGCAACACCTCCCACCAAAAGAGACCAACAGAATGGGGGAACTCAGAAAAGAAGACTCATGAGCAAATGGATTTGGAAAATCATAAGTTCACCAAAGGTAGACAAGGGTCTTCATTTCCGAATTTAGCGGAAGCTTTAAGGAGTATTTTCACATTGTTCATCACCAAGAGTTGGGATGGACCCAGAAGGGCTGTCCAGGTCATGTTGGTTTCACTATGGAGTATCTTTCTCATGGGGGCAACTTCAGGGGGGTTGCTTTAGAACATGTTGGTGCAACCCACCCACCCTGGTCTTCACCCTCTCTCCTCCCAGCCCTCTCCCCAACTTTCAATTCATTTCCTTCCCTCCCTTTTCGGCTCAAGGACCAAATCCTTCACAAAGTTTCTTTGTTACCGTCTTTCCTGAAACATGAAAGCCATCCACTCTGGAGGCCCTGAGGCCCTGTACTGTCCCTTAAGTTCCAACTCTCTGCTTTATCAATGTTTGATGATCAGCCCACCCTTCTCCTCAAACTGCTGGCCAATTTCTCTCCATGTCTTCTGCTGGCTCCACTCACGTGGCCAGGAAGAAAAGGGGATGCACAAAAGGTGTGGGTGCCTGGACCGTCCTCCACCCCCATATCCCCAAAGCATCACTGGAACAGGAAATGAATATTGGGCCAGCTGTTGGGGACAGGACGGTGGAGGAGGAGGGAAGCAAGTCTAATGACCATGTCCCTTGCATTTTCTCAGTGTCTTTCCACCGCAACCACACAGCAACCGTCCGGTCCCAGGTTGAGAACCCCACTGTCTCGCATGTGGATAATGAATACAGTCAGCCCCCCAGGAACTCCCACTCCTCGTCTTATCCGGGTAAGCAGCAGCTGGTGCTCCTAGGACTAGACTGTGTTCTTGCAGCAGAGAGGAAAAGGGGACCCCACGGAGAGGGAGATCAAACTGACAACAGGTCTCTGCATGACAGAGGCAGAGGGATGCAGTCCTCACAGCTCAGGGTTGTCCCCTGTAGGCCCAGCTACTCATCTGCAAAGAAGGATGCCATTAGCTCCCC